ATAACATACTTATATCATAATAAAAAAAAATCGTAAACACAGTAATTTTTAAATGATTTTATTTGTATTTATAGTAATAATAACAATTTTATTGTTTTATGTATATGTTCTAGTGCGATTTTTATGTATTGACTTATGTTTACCTTTGTAATCTATTGTTACATTTGGTTCACAATCTTCGATAACCTTAAATGGTCCTATATAAAGAGGATCAAATTTGTTTACACATTGTTCATTCTTAAGGAGTATCATATCACCGACATTATATTTAATTGGATTGGTATAGTAATCATACTTTGTTTTCCTACTTTGTTTGCTTAAAATTAAATTATTTCTTGCATCATATTGCGATTTTTGAAGTCTATATCTAAGTTGTTGTGAATAATCATATGGGTTATATAAGGGGTCTATATCTAAAGTTAAATTAATTAAGTTTTGGCCAAAGGTATGAATTTCGCTATAACACCGCAAAAAATTCCGTATGAAAACATTATCTGTAGTGTTGAGGACTGTCTGTATAAAAATAATATTGGTAATGAAGATTTAGAGGCTATACGTCAAGACATTTCGTCCTTGTTACGTCGAAGCTCAACGCCAAAATTAAATCTTCCCAAAGATGAATTTACTGCATTGAAAAACTTAAAAACTTACAAATTCTCAATTGTAACAGGAAACTAGAGGAAAACAACATGCCAGCAGAATATGCAGTATTACTCAAACATTGCCTTACATCTGGCTATCTATTGTGGAAGGAACAGTTTTACAAGCAAGTAGATGGTGTTGCGATGGACTCACCGGTATCTCCCATTGTCGCTGATATTTTCATGGAGGACTTTGAGGAGAAAGCCCTGCTTACTGCACCAGTAGCTCCAAGTTTCTACAAGCGGTACGTAGGCGATACTTTCACAATTTTACCATCAGACAAAGTAACTGCATTTTTAGAACATCTTAATTCCATAAACTCTAAAATTCAATTTACTATGGAGTTAGAGGCAAATAATTCTTTAGCTTTCCTAGATGTGTTAGTCATTCGAAATCCTAATAACACCGTAGGTCACACTGTGTATAGAAAAAAGACCCATACAAACCGATACTTAAACGGTGAATCCCACCATCACCCTTCACAGTTAGCTACCGTGGGCAAATCTTTGTTTCAGAGAGCACGAGGGATCTGTGACAGCAAACACCTGGCCGCCGAGCTTCAGCACGTCAAGCAGGTTCTGCACGACAACAAGCTTCGGGTTCCGCGCCTACGTCACAGTGACCGTTCTTTCACCACCTTGGTGGGATCAAGATTGTTCTGTAGCATGTAAGAAGAGAAAGGAAGCTGAAGTAAGATATTCCCTCTCTATGAATTTTGACAACTATATTTTTTATAAAAAAAACTGCTGCTGAAACATTAAAATTATTATCTGGGAAGAAAAAGGCTGGATGGCTTAAATTCTGTGAGTCACTGTCGCCTAGGACTCATCCATCATTAGTCTGGAAAAATATTAAAAAATTCCGATGTTCAGTTTTGGCCTCTGAAAACACAATTTCTAATGATCAGTCTTATTGGCTAGAAAATTTTGCTAGTAATCTTGCTCCTCCTTCAGTACCATCTTACAATGAAAGTATAGCATTTCAATCACAGTCCTTGCACTATCAACACAGTTTTGACTCCCCTTTCTCTTATGAGGAGTTATATGCTGTTCTTAGTGTCCTTAAAGACTCTTCACCAGGAATCGATGGAATTCCTTATTCTTTTATTACTAATAGCAGTGAACCTACTAAAGCCCATCTTCTTTCTATTTTAAATTGTATTTATATATCCGGTATTCCTCCTGAAGAATGGAAATCCCAAGTTATTTTACCTATTTACAAACCAGGTAAGCCTCACACTGATCCCTCAAGCTACCGCCCTATTGCTCTTTCTTGTACCATGGCCAAAATTCTTGGACACCTAATAAAAAATCGTTTAGAATGGTTTCTTGAAAGCAAAAAACTTCTAGCAAAAAGCCAATTTGGATTCCGAAAGGGCTTAAGCACCATGGATAGCCTTAGTACTCTAGTTACTGATATTCGTATAGCTTACTCTAAACATGAATACCTTGTTGGTGTCTTTCTAGATATCTCGTCTGCATATAGAAAGAAAGGTTTATTCTCCAAAATGACGCCATCACAGATAACATAAAAATGAAACACATCTTTTACAAATAATATTGGCTATACAATACAAATTACAATATACTACATATTATAAACTATACAATACCAATACTCATATGTGTCAAGGCGTTATCTGGGAACAGGAGCACACTCAGCATAATGCCATGATTTTTTTTTTCTCTCCATGGCGCTGATTTTCAGTGTGTCCAACCAGTGACTTACCGAAATCAGTGCTATACGTATACTCATGACAGAATTATGCACAACAAGGGGGAAAGAAACAGTAACTATCTTAAGTGAGAGGGAGAGAGTAGAGTTCAAGGTCGAATGCCACTTCGACACAGCACGTCCCGTTTATGTTGCTTTCAGACGCTCTTAGAAGGGCTATACGAACACTACAAAAGGGGAGATTATTAATATACTATAAAGGGCTATATACTACAAAAGGGAAATTATTAAAATACTATAAAGTGCTATATAATAAAATGACCAGATATTTTAATTAAGTAATTATTGAAGAATATAAAAGTATATAAGAAGACAAAAGCCGCATTCAAAAGGACGATTTTAATGCTCCGTTGTTAATAATCTATGACGATGAGGTACGTAATCGTGCAAAGCGTTATAAACTTTGATCAAAGTTAATCTGACTTTGCAGTAATTGTGTTCTATATTTATTTTTAAATGTGTGTACTGCTTTCAGATTTCGCAAAGGAGGCGGTATATCGTTCCGGCACTTGGATGCGGCGTATTTGAAACTTCCTCTGAAAGCGTGAGTGCGGTGACGAGGCACGACGAGAGTATTCCCTCTAGTGCGTGTATTGTAAGTTTTTACATCACGTGACCATATGAGTTTGTCAGCAAGATAAGGAGGTGTTTTATTTTTTAATACCCCGAATAGGAGAGTTGCCTTGTGCAGTTTTCTGCGATATTCCATTTTTAACATTTTGGCATTGTTAATGTAAGGGGTAACGTGCGTGCGGGGCGGTATTGTAAAACTAAATCTTGGACTTTAAAACTAAATCATATGACAATGTACTTCTTCCTGTGCTCAGGCAAAAAATGCTTAATCTGAGTATTCCAGTGAGGATAGTAAATTTTGTCTCTAACTTTCTCTCTTCTAGATCCATTTATATTGATAGTCAAAATTCTCTACTCCCGCCAAGAATTGTATGGAAGGGTCTCCCACAAGGCTCAGTACTTAGTTCTTTGCTCTATTCTATCTATACTTATGATCTAGAACTTTCTGTTAACTCATTCTGTAACATCCTCCAATATGCAGACGATATAGCTATATATATTTCCTTGGATAACCTTGCTACAGCTTGTTCCCGCTTGAATTTATCAATGTCCTATTTACAAGATTGGTTAACTGATCATGGTTTGTCCTTGTCTGTTCCCAAAAGCAGTGTTGTCATCTTCTCTCGCCATAGGCAACTCCCTGAAATCGACATTCTCTATAATAATGAACCTATCCCTATTAGGGAGAATGTAAAATTTTTGGGAGTTATTCTTGACTCCAAACTAACCTTTTCTCATCATATCAACTATGTCTCAAAAAATGTGAAAAAAAAAATATAAATATTCTTCGCTATTTATCGGGAGTTTGATGGGGCTCCCACCCATTCTCTCAAAAAATATTGTACAACGTCCTTATTCGTAGTCATTTGGATTATGCGTGCTTTGTCTTGGAACCATGCAATAAGTCTTCCCTAAAGATCCTAGACAGGATTCAGTCAAAAAGCCTTCGTATAATCATCGGGGCAATGAAATCTTCCCCAATAAATGCTCTCCAAGTCGAATGTGTAGATCCCCCTCTTTACCTAAGAAGACAATATCTCTTGGACCGATTCTTTTTTTTAATCTATCAACTCTCTTACCATCCTCTCATTTCTAAATTACACCTTCTTTTGGAATATATTTCATCAAAGCATTACTGGAGTCATAAAGAATCTCCCTGCTTACCCAACAGTTTGGTAACATTACTCCATCTACCACACCCAGTATCACAATGCAAGTCCTGTCCCATCTTTGATATCCCATATGATGCAATTATTTTCCAACCAAATATCCACCTCGACCTTGGTATTGAGAAAGATTGCCCTATAGCAAATAGTAAACTAAGTAGAGTCATAGATAATTTATGGAAAGGCTGGCTTATTATATACACTGATGCATCCAAAAAGTCAGGTGAAAGTTGCACTGGAGCAGCAGTTTGGATTCCCAGATACAAAATAATCCTCAATTTTAAATGCCCTTCTATTTCTTCCACTTTTACTGGCGAGGCCACGGCAATTTATGAAGCTTTGATTTATATAGAAGCACACAACTTAAATAAGTCAGTTATTCTTACCGACTCCAAAAGTTGTTAGCAATTTTGTCAAACCAGTTCCAAAGTAAATATAAGATACCCTTGATCCTCAAAATTAAACACACATTGTATAGATGTCATCTCAAGGGTAGCGTGAAGTAAAGGTTTACCTCTGTGTTTCGCTTGGTGAGTGCAGGTGGCCGGAGGCCCTTTTTACTGGAAATGAGGCATTCCATCTTAGTCCTCACGGGTGACAACGCATCTATGTAGATGTCTATGGGCCGCAGCAACCACTTACCATCAGGTGGACTGTGTGCTCGTTTGTCACCCTTATCCTATAAAAAAAAATCAGGTTTCCTTAGCTTGGATTCCAGGTCATAGTGGCATCAAGGGCAATGAAACAGCTGATCTGATGGCTAAAAATGCAAGTCGAAATGGTTTGCCATGTAATTTAATTTACTCTTCAGATCATATTCGTTTCTGCTAGCTCGTGTCAATCGGACGTTCGGTTGCAGAAAATAATTTTATGTCAAACAGCATTATGTCAAAGTGTGAAAAATGCAACAAAAATATTACAAGAACTCGTCCTGGAGTGGAGTGTCATCGTTGTGAGAAGATGGTGCATTTGAACACTGAATGCTCAGGGCTTACTACCAAACAAAGAAATGCGCTTCGTGCAAATAAAAACCTAGATTGGTCATGTTCTGAATGCAAAAACACCTCATCTAGACGAACTTCGATTATAATAAATTTAGCAGCACAGATTCTGACATCAAAATTAGAAAAAGCCATTAAGGACAATACATTTACTAGTAAAATATCTAAACGTAAAACACCACTTAAGCCTTGGATTACTGTGGGGATTGTAAATTCAATTCGAAAGAGAGACAAAATGCATAAAAAATTAAAAAAAGATTTAAATAATGAGCAATTGGGACACATATACCGAAACTATCGAAACACATTAAATAGATTAATAAAACAATTAAAAATAAATTATTATAAAGTGTTATTAGAAAAAAATAAAGGCAATATGAAGGAAACTTGGAATACAATAAAGGAAATATGTAATATGGTAAAAAAGAAAGAATCTTCCACAGATTTACTCAAACATTGTTTAAATACTACTCACTCTCTTGACAATGTTAATAGGTTTTTCGCAACGGTTGGTTATAGTCTTGCAAATGATATTTTATCCAAACTTAACACTACTGACAGTTCTCTTTCTCTATTGGCAAAATGCAAAGATGCACCAAACGGTTCAATGTCCGTCTACCTAACCGATTCGGTGGAAGTTTCAAGCGTCATCTGCAGTATTAAATCAAGTAACTCATCGGGATATGATTGTATTACGTCTAAAATTCTAAAAGATAACATAAAACACATTTCGGAACCTATTGCATATTTAATTAATTTGACATTTGAATATGGTGTTTTCCCCAAAATCTATAAAAATGCAATTGTCTGTCCCATATATAAATCTGGGGACAAATCTTCACCGAATAACTATCGCCCAATTTCACTATTAAGCACAATGTCTAAGGTTCTCGAAAAAATATTCAACAAGCGACTAATGAATTATTTAGAAAAGAATGAGCTTTTGGATAAAAACCAATTCGGTTTTCGTGCTAACAGGTCCACAGATGACGCTGTACTTCAACTTACTTCAAATATTACACGTTATCTTGATAAAAATGAAAAGGTAATAGGAGTATTCCTGGACCTTCAGAAGGCATTCGATACCGTATCTGTTCCAATATTATTAACACGTTTGGAAAATATGGGAATCAGGGGAAATGCACTTATGTGGTTCCAGGACTACCTTTCGGATAGGAAGCAACGTGTTAGGGTTGATGGCTTATTAAGTAATGAATTCAGCTCCATTTACGGTGTGCCACAAGGCAGTACACTTGGGCCAAGCCTTTTTTTAATTTACATAAACGATTTGTGTAAAACTAATCTCAAGGGTGCTGATATTCAAATGTTTGCTGATGATACAGTCATACTGTTTCATGGCGAGTCTTGGGAATGTGTACATCGTCTTGCTGAAGACGGTCTTCGTACTATTACATCATGGTTAGAAAACAGCTTGCTAACACTCAACACAAGTAAAACAAAATATATGTGCTTCAGTAAAACTAATATTAATTCACCCAAATCTTCTAGTTTACAAATCCATTCCTATCCTTGCAATCGACAAGCCAATACCGAGAATAAATCATGTACTTGCTCATTAATCGAAAGAGTAAAAGTTATAAAATATCTAGGAATAAGTATTGATGATAAGCTCAACTGGAAACAGCACATAACATCTGTTGCTAATAGACTCAGGAAATTAGTTTATGTGTTTAGAGAATTGCGCACTGTTTCAGAACTTCCACTCTTAATACAAACTTATAAAGCACTTGCAGAATGTGTAATTACATACTGTATATGTTCGTGGGGAGCAGCAGCTAAAACACATTTAATAGAACTTGAACGAGCACAAAGATATCTCCTCAAAGTAATATTATACCTTCCATTTAGGCATCCAACTGCTGCATTATTCAAAACGGCAAACGTACTTTCTGTGCGCCAACTATATATCTATAATTGTATAAAAAAATACCATAAATTTACGGTACCATATCTTCCCTCCACTGGAAAAAGACGAGAACGTTTCACAGTTGAGCGAGTGAGATGTAAGATTGCTCGACAGCATTATCAATTTCAGGCACCAAGACTTTACAATTACTTTAGTGTAAATAATAAATTGAGAAACCTATCTATGTACCAACTAAAATCCAAAGTTTTATTATGGTTACGTAAGTTGAAATACAACGAGACGGAAAATCTATTAAAAATAACTCAATAGTACGAGTCATTTCTCATCGAGTAAAATAAAAACACACACGCACACACTCACCCGCACACACAACACAAACACACACACACACACACACACACACACACACACACACACACACACACACACACACACACACATATGTACACAAACACACGCAAAACACGTATGCATCATAGATGCAACAAACGTACGGATGCATATTTAATTTTAATTTGTAAAAATTTTATTTACTTTGTTACCTTGTTACATACGCACAACATGTATGCATCATAGATGTAACACACATACGCATGCATATTTTTTTGTTTTTTTATTTTCCTTTAATTTGTATTTTTTTTTGTTACCTTGTTACGCACGCACAACATATACGCATCATAGGTGCAACACATATACGCATTAATATTTAAAAAAAAAAAAAATATTTTTCTTTAATTTGTAAAATCTTAATGTATTTTGTTACGTTGTTCTGATTTTCTGATTTGTGATAAGCTAAAAAGCCATTTTGTAATTGTAACTTTGTGGATATGGGAAGGAACTGAATCCCGACACACAGCTATTGCTAGTTCGGGAGTCAGGGCTTCAACTTTGTAGTGTCAATATGGTTTTATTCAATAAATAAATTTATTATTATTATTATTATTATAATACCGGATGATGAAGACGATGATGAAGCTTTTGGATCGCCTATAACCTCTGCCTCTGTTCCATTAGATGGTAAAAAACTGATGCTAGAAATAACAACAAAAGTGGAGAATGCTATTCAACGTCAATTGGGCCAGTTTGCGGAGTCTTTGGAATTCAATTCTAGAAAACTTGATGATATACTCGAAACCATAGACGCGTTTAAAACTACAGTCAAAGAAATGAAAAAGAAGAACATCGAATTATCTAACCAAAATAAAAACTTAGAATTTAGATTAAGTGCATTAGAGCAGCGATTACAGGAACAAGAGCAGCAACAGCTTAGTAAAACTATTGATATTTTTAATATTCCCTTCACTGACAACGAAGATCTTTCAAAAGTCGTACAAAAAATACAGCAAACACTAGACTTAGAAAATATCTTAGAAGTAAAGCGTTCTGGTTATAATAAAAATAACTCCGGAAAACTACGTGGTTCTACCGTCAGAAACTGTTAAAACAAATTGGCTTACAAAAGCAAAGAATACGAAGATTATGGTACATGATATCTTTCCTAACTCATTACCATTGATTGGTAAAGAAATCATCTATATTAGTGAGGCATTAACTGCCTACAATAAGACCTTACTTGGTAATGCCAGAAGACAACTTAAGAATAGCGGATTATACAAATATGTGTGGTGCAAAGAAGGAGTCATAAGAGCAAGAAAAAGTGAAAAAGATGAATCAATAATTATTAGAACTGATGATGACATTAAAGCTTTGCTACAAAAGGAAGTCCATGTTTTATACGTGGTAGAGCTATGCTGCAGCTATAAGTTGTAGCACGAATGGGTCTGCTCGACCGGGGAAGGACCACGCTCTCACTGAATACCAGCGTAAAATAGCAGCTTAATGTTGCTGTGTTTCGTATGGTGAGTGTAGAGAACCGGAGACCCTTTTTAATGGAAAAGAGGCATTACATCTTAGTCCTCACGAGTGACAACGCATCTGAATTTTGATTTTTAAGCGAAAATAAATGTTTTGATTCTTTATTGAGGATAAATGCAGATGTCTATGGGCCACAGCAACCACTTACCATCAGGTGGACAGTGTGCTCGTTTGTCACTCGATCCTATAAAAAAAAAACGTACAGCCGCAATAATTTATTTTATATAGGTACTACCTTTCACATAAAATATATTAAAATATTATTTGAATGGACATACAGTTAGACGATATTTGTGAATTGAGTAATTGCACTAACATTAATTCATTTCTAAAACATATTCCTGTTAAAAATTGCCAAACTAACCTTTTATGCATGCACATAAATATAAGGTCTTTGATTAAAAACTTTGATGCATTGGAACAGTGTGTGTACGAATCTAACGCATCTATAGATATTATATTGGTAACGGAAGCTAATATACCTGACTCCCTAAGAGACATGTATCACCTGCCGGACTATCAAATGCACACAGTGCTGCGTAAAAACCGAAGGGGTGGCGGTATTATAGCATATATACACAAGCAAAATAAGTTAACAAGAATAAGTAACGTAACAACAAAACATTTTGAACATATACTATTTCAAATTAGCACTCCATCTTTTTATGCGGCAACAGTATGTGCAATTTATCGCCCTCCTAATCTAAGTAAACACTTATTTATCGACGAACTTTACACATTAATCGGTAGTATGGACACAAAGTGCGAACTATTTATACTCGGAGATATGAACATAGACTTAAAAACCTATTCTCCTGTAATACATAAATATAACTGCATGCTTCATAACTACGGCCTTACGTGCGGGATTACACAGTACACTAGAATTGAATTAACTGACTATAGAATAACTAAATCATGTATTGACCATGTGTACGCGAGATCACGCACGCAAGATGTTTACACCGCAGCGCTTGGAATTATGCTGGCGGACCACCGAGCGGTAGTTGCCTTGCCTGTGTGGGACAAACTCATGCGCGTACACAGGATGAAACTACTTATAAAAATATATATATAACAATGAAAGGTTAAAATATTCCTTAAATAATATTAACTGGAAGGAAGTTGATGACATGGTTGGTCCAGATAATATATTTATTACAATATATATATATAAAAATATAAATGAATGCTACAACGATGCAAAAATTAATTTAAAAATTAAAAACACCAATAAAAAACATACCGAAAATAAATGGATAAGTTTACGTATTATAAAAGCTTGTGAGTATAGAGATAAAGTATTATTCCAATGGATCAAAGATAATAATAATAAAATATTAAAAACACAATATAATAAAGCGCGAAACTATGCAAATAAGTTAATCAGATCCTCCAAACATAAATACATCTATTAATTTAAAACAACTCTGGTTTATTCTAAATAGAATAACAGGTAGGGTACGTAAAACAGTAGATACAGTTCTCCTAAATGCGTTTGGAGGCAAAAACAAAAATGAAAGCATTATTGCAAATAACTTTGCGAATAAATTTCATAGTGGTGTTCAAAATATAATACCTCAATGTAAAAATAATATTTTAGATAAAATAGAATACAGACAACCTGTGAACGTAACAATTAATTTTCGAAAAGCAACACCTAAAGACATCCTTAAAATTATAAAAACATTAAACGTTAATAAAGCTCCGGGTTTCGTCAAAGTACGGGCGATAGATATAAAGCAAATTTGCGAAGAAATTGCTCCGGCTATTGCAAAATTGGTCAACGCTTGTATAAAGACTAATAAATATCCAGACGAATTGAAAACTGGAATCGTGAGACCTATATACAAAAAGGGAAGTAAACAGGACTACGATAATTACCGTCCTATAACTATATTGCCTATAATAGACAAGATTATAGAAAAATACATAGCAAGACAAATTTATAATTTTTATGGTCTGAATAATATTCTAAATGACACACAGTTTGGATTTCAACACAAAAAAAGCACTACTCAATTACTTTCCCTATTTACCGATAACATATATGAAAATCTTAATGAAAAAAACATGTATTGCTGTTATTTATCGACTATAGTAGGGCGTTCGATACTTTACGTCATGATGTAAACTTTACAAATAGTTAAATACCCTATTTTCTTCTGCTAACTTCCTTTTTTTAGAAGCCATTATCAACTGTAACAATAAAAGCATTATTACCAGACCAAGCTTACGTAGATCGGTACCTATCAAAAGTGTATAATAAAAAGTAATCTCACACTTACCGAAATCAAAACAAAAACGCAACAAATGAAATTGTTTCACTAATCACGCATCAAAGTAGGTAATTGACGGAGAGCGGAAAGCAACTGTCCTCGCTAACGTTCGTTTGTTCCGCCCGCGCCCCTCCCGCGCGTCGTTCATTAATTATTGTTCATTCGCGAGCCAAGCGAAGCGGGTTCCACACTACTATACGGTTGTGCGGGGTTCGCGCGCGGCGGACAGATAGTCCGAGATTCCTATTTATTTTACACTTATAATGTTTGCTACAACATAATACTTTCAATGTTACTGTTATGTTAAATACGCTAAATGTCAGGCTTCAAGGTAAAAAAAAACTAATCTCTGATATATGCACATTTCATCCGCGGGCAGAGCGAAGCGCGTTATACAATATTGACTATAGCTATACGCTATATGTTTGTGGTTCGTTTATGCATCTATTTTGATATTATTAGGATTTATTTACATAACATTCACGGGCCGCAAGTAGAACGTCCGCGGGCCGCATGCGGCCCGCGGGCCGCGTGTTGCCGACCGCTGATGTAAAGTATCGAATTGACTAGAGCGACTAGACAACTGTGGAATTAGAGGGCCAATTCTTGACTCGTGTCGAGATTATCTCAAAAATCGTTCCTATTATGTCAAAGTAGGGGATACATTAAGTAATAAAGTTTTGGTAAGTGAAGGTACAACACAGGGTTCAGTATTAGGACCGCTATACTACATCACTTACGTGAATAATATCAATAAATTGATTAAAAACTCAAAAAATTTCCAATTTGCCGACGATACATGTCTGGTGGTAGCCCACCACAATATGAATAAGGCGGTAAAACTGTTACAAGAAGACTTTACAAAGCTCATGCAGTGGTCACATGACGCAGGTCTAGTACTTAATTCGAATAAAACTAAAATGATGTACGTTAGCTCCAGTCAAAATAGATTAAAACATAATATTACTCTTATAGCTCATAATCACACATGTCTTCATAATATCCAAAATTCAGCCCATAATAACAACTGTGAATGTCCCCAAATTGAAATAATAGAAAAATGTAGGTATTTAGGTTTAATAATTGATGATCGTATGAAATGGACTGATCACATTGAATCTGTATGCGATAAGCTACGAGCAATCCTTGCAAAAT